TGTCGACAAAAACGAGGAGCGGACGAGATGTGGGTGTATGTGGGCAGAAGATGCAGTGCAGGAGACAAAAGAAAGTTACTCACCTTGGGATGCCACGGTCTGAACCTGACCAATGACGCTGGGGGAGATGAACTGCTGGAGGTCGAGAACACCAACGTTGTTGAGGAGACCAAGCTGGAGCTGCTGGAGCTGGAGACCAGCCAAGTCGAAGCCGCCGAGAACACCGAGCTGGTGGATCTGGAGGAAGGTGTGCAGTTGCTGAAGCTGGAGGAGAGAGGCGAGGTCGAACTGCTGCTGCTGGAAGAGACCCTGGAACTGAAGGATGTTGAAGTTGTTGACGTTGGCGAGGTTGCCAAGGAGACCGAGTTGCAGGGAGTTGATGTTGAGCAGGTAGTTCAGGTTGACCTGGTTGAAGCCCTTGAGTCCATTGAAAGCGTTGGCATCAAAGGCAAAGGCGCGCTTGTCGACCTCAGTAGAGACGGCAGTGGGGGCAGCGGCAGTGAGGGTGGCGAGAGCCGAGACGAGGATGGTGAAGACCTTCATTTTTGCTGATTTTTGTTGGGGGTTTTGAGAGAACGACTTGCGTTGGTTTGTTGATTAAAGGATTATAAAAGAGAGCACAGCTCAAAAATGTTCAAAAAAACCGAAGGAATGGAAGCGAACAGCGAGCACAGCTGTTGGGATGCCAGGTTAGTATGTCGATGATGATGATGTTTGTTGTTTATTGCAGATCTTACCTCTGAAGAAGTGAATGACTGAAGAAGAAGGCGAACCTGAATGAAAAGCTGGAGTTGAGTGTGGGATGGAGAAACAAAAACTCTGAGCAACGGGCCGTCTGGTCGCCTTATATGTTGAGTTGAGATGAGGAGAGACGAGGGAGCAGCCGCGCGCCAAGGATTTCAGGGACACTTCAGGGACACAACGTGAACTCGGAAGGAGGTCCAGAACTCATCCGGTGCGTGTCAGACGTCAGGCATCAGGGACAACGGAGCTGGCGGGTAAAACACCATGGGAGAGAGTGCACCAGCATGAGCCGGGATGAGTTGACGATGCCAGTGGTGGCGGGAAGAGAGAGCCAAGAGGCGAAGAACCCTGTCAACGCAGGTTTGCTCTGCGGAAAGTTGTGTGGCCGGACTCATGGCCTGTCGCCAAGAGAAACATGTTACTACGGCACCTTGAGGAGCTGGTTATCACTGTAGCATTGAGATCTTTGGTGGGAGCATAGTGTAACCCAGTCCCGGATGGAGTGTGGGGGGGGGGGGGGAACGGTCTCGACGGGTCAGTAGGTTCTCAATAGTAGCCGTCGTCTGATGTCTTTGACTCTTCTAAACTGTGGACGGTTGCTCCTTGGTCGCTATTCTCGGCCTTTGGAGAGAGATTCCTGATCGACGTCGAGGATGAGCTGCTCGTTGCGTGGTGTTTCGAGGAGCAAAGCTTTTGGTGGAAAATCTAGAGCAGCAATCTCGGGAATGTTGGATGTGACGAAACCTACACTTGCAGACTGCCGGGGCAGGAACGGGAAACTTTGAGTTCAGTCACCAGACAGTTTGGGAAACAACATCCTTGAACCCAGCCTGAGTTCCGAGAGGGGGTTCAGACCAGAGTTTCTGAGCATTTTCTCGGAAGGAGCTGCTCATCACACGGAAGGAACGTGTGCCCGTGATCCTTCCCTAAAAAACAGCGCTCTATCACGGAGGACGGAGTACATTAGCGTTTCTTGGTGTGTAGTCAAGGTGACAGTGTTAATGGGGAAACCCATCAAAGTTTGACGTTAAGCTTATTGAGTCCAGCCCTGGAGATATCCGATTACCGAGCAAACCTCCTTCAACCCCGGCAATTGTTCTAGCGGGCTGTTGGCTAAATAGCGGGTCCCTGGTGCAAAAAGAGGCTTAAAGGACATGAAGCGAAGAGCGGGAGAGAGGTCTTGGCTGCGTTGGTCGACGTTGGTGTGCCACCCACGGCCAAGAGAAGATGGTGCGAGATGATTGGCTGCCTTCTCAATTTGAAGCCGTGCGCCTGCAACAGGAAGAACCGTGCGCTTATGCACAGAGCCCCCCAAGGTGTCGCAAATGCACGAGATGAAGCAGTCGCAATCCATGGCATTGCGGGATGATGAGGACCTCAGCACATTTCGCCTGAATCGATCTTCTTCTACCACACTTGGCCGTCGGAACCGTGCGGCATCCGGACGGGAATCACCCCCTTCTTCAACCGTCTGAGGGTTCGTTTTCAACCACTCACATCTCATGAAGAGCACGCTATTGCACGACATCTGCAGGTACCGGTTCTGTTGGAAGCACCAACGGCACAATTCATCTGAAGCAGTGCCCTGTCAACTCAACCTGATCACGGTTGACGATGCTGTCATTGTCATCACAGCACCAAGTACAGGGAAACCATCACACAATGTTTCGCCTCATCTTTTCAACTCTGAAAATAGTATCGGAAAGCTCCAGATTCATCTCAACAAGTCATTGCTACCCGGTCTAATTACAACTAAGTGTGTAAAGAAAAGAAAATTGAAGAAGAAAGAAACACCAAACTAGAGCAACTCCAGCGCTTGGCAACTGCCGAAGCCCAAAGATCTTGACAGCCTGATGGCCGCCTGTGATCAGACCTGCGTAGCTACCCCAGGCTATGTGGGGATGAGCTTTTCCTCCCCAACCCCTCCTTCAACCCGGTCCCGCCTGCTCGGAACCTCGCCGGATGTTTCAATGAGGTGTTTAATCCCCTAATCCAGTCAACCTTGAGCAGAGCTGGCAAACCCCTTTGGGAATATCCGAGCCTGTAGTCACAGGTACATCTCATTCCTTAGCGGGTGAGATCGGACAGGTTCTCCACGGCATCCTCGCCATCCTCCTCGGCCTCCACCGCTGGAGCAGCAGTTGCGGCGGCGGCAGGGGCGGATTCCACAACCGCAACAGGGGCAGCGCTAGCCACAAGCTCAGCTTCAGCAGTGACTGCGACAGCAGCCAAGGATGTCGTTGTGGACGCCGAAGAGGCAACCTCCGTCGCAGCAGCACCCGCAATGACGGAGAAGGAACCCACCGCGGCGGATGCCACAGTTGCAGCAGCAAGAGCGACGTTGGGGTCCGCCGTGGCAATGGTAAAGGCAGCATCTAGTCCGGGATCTGCTGTAGCAATGCTGAAGAGAGCGTCATCTGCTTCAGCAGGCGCCGTCGCGATGGAAAATGCGGCTTCCTCGGTTGGAGCAGCAATAGCTTGGTTCGCAGCGGTGGCAATGGTGAAGGCAGCTTCATTCAGTCCAGGAATCCCAGTTTGGATGCCTGCCCCGACTCCAGCGCCAAGGTTCCCCTGAGCACATTGACGCTTGACGTTCGGGCCGCGCCGAAGAACTGTTCTCTTCATGGTCTTCCTGGCTTCTTCGATCTCGCGCTTGAAGACACCTGTGACAGAATTGATGGTCAGATGAGACGAATTTACAGTCTGGGGAAAGAGGCGTTACGAACCAAGATTGAACCCTCCAAGGACCTGACCCTTGTTAAACAAGTTCTGGATACCTCCCACGTTGACAAAGCCTTGCTGCTGAAGCTGCTGAAGCTGCGCGAGCTGAAAGAAGAGATCGACATCATTGTTGAAACCGAATCCCAAGATGTTGTTCCGGTTCAGCTGGTTTCCCAAGCAGAAGTTTTGGAGCAAAAGTTGGATCGCGTCGACAACGGCATCTTGGTTGCGAAGATCAACTCTCCCGAGGTTGAGACCGCCAACGTTGAGGTTATTGAGGTTGAGGTTGGCCAAGTTTCCAAGGTTTCCCCCCAACTTCCCGAGGTTTCCCAAGTTTCCCAAGTTTCCCAAGTTTCCCAAGTTTCCCAAGTTTCCCAAGTTTCCCAAGTTTCCGAACCCTCCCGACCCACCGAGGTTAAGGCCGTTCGCACCGATCTGAGCGGACACCAGGCCAGCGGAGAGGAGAAGAGTGAGTGACTTCATGGTGAGGTATGTGTCTGTCTTTCAAAAATGAACGGTCTGCGTGCAAACAATGAAGAAAAGAGCGCAGCTGTAAACTGGTCAGCATCTAACTGTTGCACTCCTATTTTGGATGCTTTCTTACCTCTGAAAATAATTAGAAAGAATAAAAAAAAGGAGTGACAGGCTTCAAGCACAAACACAAGACATAAAGATACCAGATGCCAAATTTTGACAAGAAATCGAGACCACAAGTGGATGATATAGGCATTCCGTTTCCTTTACTCCCAACCAGCCCGCGCGGCATTGGCAGTGCCCAGAACACGGATCGTCGCCAGCCCGGCGGGAGGAACTTTGGGATGGAAGACCTCCTTTTTCGTCGATGAAACATGTGCCATGCTATTAAGCCGAGAGAAGCGGGAGCAAGGAAACAAGATAACCCAAAACTCACAAGCCGGCAAGGCTGATATGCGCGTCCGTGATATTACAGATCCTTTCACAAATGCAGGATGGGGTAGCAAGCCGTTCCACATGCCACTGTGCCTCATGGGAGGTGTTGTAGATCTGAACGGGTAAATTTAAACATTTGGAATGATTATCATGGTCTCATTCATCACGGAAGAGGAGTGTGATGCCAGCCAGACGGAATCACCCACCCACACGGCGGCCTCCAAGAGTTTAAGAAAGCAGTAGTCTTGATTTGAAAAGAAAAAAAAAAAAAAAAGAAGAAGAAAAAATCCAAGCTAAAGACCACCCCCTTAGTGTCCAACTCTAACAAACGGATGGATTTCCAGCCGGCTCAAGGAGACGTCGTGCAAATCCCAGAGGAAGTTCAAACTTGAAGAAGAAACATGTAACCTAAACCAAAGCCCGTGGTGGTGGGATCTATCTTAGCAGGCTCAATGCTGTTTCATTTGTGCTTGGCTTTGGCGGCACATATGTACCCTACTACTCTCACGACTTCACTGTCGTGTACTGATACCTTGCCAGCGGCGCCCTCCCAAAAAAAATTTTAAAAAAAATTACAACGGCTTAGTAGTCTTTTATGACCAAATTGAAGTAGGAAAAGAAAAAATTGACAACTGTGAGATTCGAACTCACGCCCCTCTCGAGAACGCAATGCTTTTCTCCCCTTCTGAAGAAGGGGAAGGATATATCATTAGATTGTGGACAATCAAATCCTTGAGTGCGTCGCCTTAGACCACTCGGCCAAGTTGCCTTTTATTTTTTCTTTTTGTGTATTTTTTTTTTAACTAAACTGGTATATTTTGTTGAGGTTCTGCTTCGGAATTGTCGGCTCAGTCAGATTTTTTTTTAAAAAAAATTTGCAAGCAAAAAGCAAAATAGGTGATGATTGTTGTGGAAATGCAAAGGTGAAAGGGGATGAAGGCGGGTGGGTGTTATGAACCGGGTTGCGTTAGGCTTGTTGCATGTGCAATAGGGGATCGATTTCTCTGGCAGGTATCTTGTTTTATTTTTGTATTTGAGCATTTTGAGCCCGGTGTTCTGTATGTTTTCCTTTCCTGCGAGTCTTCAAGTCCTGGCCTCTGGTAATGCTTTTGTTTTCCATCCCTATAGTGTATGTATGCACAGCCCAACCAGACTGCCCACGGCGAAATATATACAATGCTCCCCCCACCCCCTTTGTACCTAGTATCCAAAACTCTCACTCATCCACCCTTCGTCACCTCTCCGTCTTCGGTGTCTTATCCTCCTTCGGTCCGTGGAACCCAAGCCACTCCCCCAAAATGCCTCCCGGTTTTGGAACAGGACACTCTCTCGAGGCCTGAGCAGACTTCTTGAATCCTTCCTCGCCCGGCTGCCCCTGGAACTGCACAATCCCATCCTCCGATATCGTAACGTCTGATTTCCTCCGTTTCCTTGTCCTCCTTTCCGGCATTTCCCCGTCGGCGAGGGCCCGTCTGGGCGCAGGGCATGGTAGAATATGAGGCAGCGCAACGACAAAGAAGCTGGCTACGACGGTGGTTGCAAACAACGACGAGGTCATTCGCGACCTGGGATGGAGGTGAGGTGGTGCCATGGTCAGGTAGGCGAGGAGCTGGAGGGGATCGTGAGAGGAAAGGGTGGGTGGTTTCGTTGCTGCGTCAATTTATATTTATTAGCTCCCAATTGATCATGTCATTTTTGTATCTAGTTAGAAAACATACCAACTGCTTTCAACCAGGCATGCTCCGGACCATGATGCGGCCTTTGGACGAGACACCCCGATTACGCTGGATTGCTGGGGCGCCCGGGATTGGGGAGCTCTGGGAAGCTGTGGTGGATAGAACTGCTCCGCCCGACAGCTGCTTGGGAATTTCTCGCCGAAAAGGTGGGGTGCGGTGCCTCCCCAAGAGCCGAAGCCTGAAAAAAAGAAGCTTGTCAGGCACGCGTCACAGTTGTAATAAAAAGTGCGCTAGTCCATTAGCTATACTAAATTGGCTTTGCAGTGGGGAACCGCCTAAGGCGGCACAGACCACACGTACTGCAGCGCGCCGTCGCCGCCGATAAGGGAATCCGATCAATCCCCAATTCCCAACGAGCTGGGAATGGGAAATCTGGACTGCCCGCCTTTTCGCAAATCGGAGAGGGCAAAATCAACAAACATATCTTTCAACTATTAAAACCTCACGGATACCGTTTTATTGTTACTGGGGCTTCTGGGACCGGTTGTGGGCTTTGACTTTGAAGAGAGGGCGCGCATAAAAATAGAGAATTGGTTTTGTACGTGCATACTTTCTACCGGCATCAAAAACCACCATCATCACCGACAATCAGTAATTTATTTGCCCCGCCACCGCGACACCTTCAACAAACACACACCCAATTGTTGGTCGCAACAACACAACGTCTTTTTTTCTTCGTCTTCTTCTTTTATTCGGCGCTGCACAATAATTTATCATCCAGAATGAGTGATTTAGACAGGTAAATAGCATTCACGCCCTCCCTTTCTTTCTTACTCTTGGCCGCTCCTCGAACTTTCGTCTAAATGTGTGTTGTTCAAAAACAGAGCGATCGCTCAACTACGAGCCTGCCGACCCATACCGGAAGCCGAAGTCCGCGAACTATGCCACAAGGCCCGAGAACTCCTAATCGAAGAAGGAAACGTAGTCACAGTCAACGCGCCCGTAACGATATGCGGCGATATCCACGGGCAGTTCCACGACTTGATGGAGCTCTTTAGAGTGGGCGGAGACGTGCCTGATACAAACTATTTATTCATGGGTAAAAAGCTCTTCTCCCCCCCTCCTCCTCCTCCCCATGCCCGATTAACTCTTTTATGTGTGTGCGCGTGTGTGCAGGCGACTTCGTCGACCGCGGCTTCTACTCCCTCGAATCATTCCTCCTCCTCCTCTGCCTCAAAGTGCGCTACCCGGATCGCATGACTTTAATCAGAGGCAACCACGAGTCCCGACAAATCACGACGGTCTACGGCTTCTACGACGAGTGCTTGCGCAAATACGGGAGCGCAAATGTGTGGCGTTACTGCTGCGACGTGTTTGATTACCTAGCACTGGGCGCGATTGTTCTAGGAGCGTCAAACACTTTGCCCGCTTCCCCCGGCAGACCGCTGGCTGCCCCTCCTGGAGCCGACGTGGAGATTGAGGTTTGTAATGCGGACCAACAGATCATTTCGCAGTTTTTGAGGAAAGGGAGGGGAGATCCAAACGGGAATATGGAAAACGGGGTGGTGCAGCAGAGCAATGGAGTCAGTGCGAATAATAGTTCAACACCGGCGAATACTGGACCTCCCGGTTCGGGCGCAAGCGGATGGAGCGCGGGGTCGCTTGGAAACCCAGCCGGGGCGGTGCTGTGCGTGCATGGAGGGTTGAGTCCGTTGATCGATAATGTGGATAAGATTAGGTTGCTGGATCGCAAACAGGAAGTGCCCCATGAGGGCGCAATGTGCGACTTGCTCTGGTCCGACCCGGACGAGATTGACGGGTGGGGCTTGTCGCCGAGAGGAGCAGGGTTTCTGTTTGGAGCTGATATTGTCAAGGTCTTCAATCAGAGGAACGATCTGAGTCTGATCGCGAGGGCGCACCAGTTGGTCATGGAAGGATTCAAGGAGATGTTTGATGCGAGCATCGTTACGGTTTGGTCGGCGCCCAATTATTGCTATAGGTGTGGCAATGTGGCGGCGCTGTTGGAGCTGTCGGAGGACGATAGTGGGTTGGGTGTTTTGGCGAGGAGTAACGGGGATGTTAACAGGAGTGACGGTGGTGTTGGGAATGGTTCTTCGAGAGGAGTGCTGATGGAGAATGACTTGGAGGAGCAGCTTCTGCCGGGCCCTGCGAGGAGATACAGGGTCTTTATGGCTGCGCCGCAGGATTCGAGGGGAATGCCGGCTAAGAAGCCGGTTGCGGATTACTTTTTGTGATTTTGTGACGGGACCGAGAGGATAGCGAGAGGAGGATATCACAAGGCTGTTTGAGTGTTGGGAATTTGGTGGGTTCTTTTCCCCCTCAAACTGGGAAGATTTGATATTTCTGGTTGAGCGAGACATAAGGACATGCATGGTTTATGTTTTTGTTATTTGTATTATCACTTATACCCATGAATGGAATTCATAGTTTGCATTCTATAAAAAACCTTGATTTCGTTGCTGATTTTACTTGGCTTCATTTATTGTGCTATGAACCTGTTGTTAGACGATTGATGGCGTCACCGACTATGTTGTCGTTTACCCGGCAGTCGGTCCCCGGTGCACAGCCGAGGGATGCCCGAACTTCGTGGGGGTTGGTGCCTGTCATTAGGGATATTCTGGAAGAGCATGCCATTAGTGTTGAGCGCGCGGCAGGGTTAATAATGGCCACCTTGTACTCACAGATCAGCTGCTGCCGAGCAGTCATGTTCTTCGTCTGGGTCAGGCTGGTTTGGGCTTTTGGAACACTCTTGCGGATGTTGCTGTGGCTGTTGCTGTTGCGGTCTTGATGCATAGCCATGAGATTGTGATGTTTCTTCGGCGGCTAGATATTCCTGTATACCCGCTTCGCTGACACCGTGGAGTCGAAGAAGCGCCCGCAGCTTCTTGTTTTCTTCGGCGACCTTGCGAGCAGCGACTTGGACTTCGGCTGTGGCTTGCACGCCTCGCTGCTCAAAATCCCGAATACGCTGTTCTAATTCATCGACGTACTCCTTCTTCCTTGCGCGAGAACGTCTCTGATTATCTCGGATGCGGGCGAGATTTCTGTTGCCTTCCTTTTGTTGGGCGTGAGTGAAACGATCTTGGGGTTGATGGTTTTCTCGCGTGAGAGTGGGACTTACAGAAGCCGCCGCTGATGACATGATGGGGTGAGAGGTGATGGATTACACAGCAAACAACACAAATTGAGACAGCAAAACGGCCCAGAAGATATCCTAAGCATATAACACGAATGGGGGATCTTTGGAACCTTTGATGAAAGATGAATTATGATTGATTGTTCGAGTTGGATTCCGGATGAAGTCGGCACCCTGCCGGCCAAGATGCCAAGACATCCGTTATCCGTCTTGGCATCCGGAGCCGATTCGGAGGTGTCTCCGGGTGAGATCCATTGTAAAACGGCGCAATACCCGGGCAACAAACAGCAACAGCTCCAATGAACTAGCTACTTCCACCTCCCAAAAACTTATCAAGATCCGTCTTCTTGCTCACCACTTCAGTCAAGTTCAAAACACTCAAGCTCAAATCATCATATGGCCCGCCTTCGTCAAAGACAGAACCGCTCAACACCATCAAGTGCTCAGGATAGTCCTTGAAAACATGCAGAGCCCGACTGTAAGCAGATGGCTGCTCGCAAGGATGCATCTCCCACTTGTCAGGATCTCCGCCAAAGCGATTGGTATAGAGTTCATCCCGATCAGCATCCGAGACTACAATCGTCCCGTTCGGACCTCCGCTCGGCGACCAGACGACATACGGTGACGCATTCGGCGCAACCTTGCCTTCGATGACGATGGGAATTCCAGGGGAGGAGTCAAACTCGGTGGGCTTATCAGCGAGGCGGTAGTAAACGGGATAGTTGACGCCATGAGAGCTCGAGTTTCCAACTGGCAGCTCGTAGACAAAAATCCATTTCTTGATCGTTGGGATCTCGGCAATGACAGTCATACCGGGGCGAGCGAGGTATTCATCATACCGGACGTCGTTGACCACGGGCCCCCAGTTGATGAGGTCCTTCGACCGTTGGTGGGCAAGTTTTTGTCCATGGTTGGGATCTCGTTGGTCCGAGTAGT